AATTAATCCTATTCATGAGGGCTTCACCTCCATGCCCTAATCTGCTCCTAAAGGCCCCACCTTTTTATTGCACTGGGGGGACACAGACATCCAGACCAGAGCAACCATCCCAGGAAAAGGGGTCTGGACAAGCATGGTTTTAGGTCCAAAGAGTTTCTTCAAAACGTACTTTTAACCTTTCACTGGGCCTTATGAATAAACACATTAAATCCAGTCCCCCCAAATCCTAATTAGCTGGAGGACATATTGTTTTCATTTTATTAAATGTACTAAAGCGAGCAATCCTTTAAATTCCCTGGGAAGCATTGTGGAGATAGGGGTTTGATCTCCGCTTGTACAGAGCTCATAGCCAGTAGCTGCAGAATCTATTACGGACTTGGGAAAATTACTTCACCTTTTCATTCTTTAGAATATGGAACTATCTGTTACTTGAGCTGAACTACCTCTAAGACAAGGAGGAAGGAGAGTGAATATTGTTATAGAGGGTAAAGCAAAGACTTAAGGGTTTACCTGGCTTTATCTAAATACTCTTTGATACCAAAAAAATGATGGGAAATGTTACATCCTGCTGTCGATAAATGAGTATAAACACTTTTGCAAAACTGAAATACATCATGTGCAGAGAAAATAGAACAAAAGTTAGGTATTACTGAATAAAATTAAACATCATAGTTGGAGTGTGGACTCTAGATTTTTGTGCTGAATCCTGAGTTTTGAGTGGAAAATACAGTATAGCAATGTTATTGAGGCTACAAGTATAAATAACATTTTTGAGCTTAATGGAAATAAAATATCTTAGTTTATCACTCTCAAAATAAATGAGCATTTGAAGAATCGCTTATGTTGCTACTTAACTGACAGCAGCCCTCCACTATCCCGGGAATAATTTCTTGGAAATGATTTGCCAAGTTAACTTTTTTTTTTTTTTTTGAGACAGAATCTGCTCTGTCACCCAGGCTGAGTACAGGGCATGATCTTGGCTCTCAGCTCACTGCACCTCCACCTCCTGGTTCAAGCGATTCTCTGCCTCAGCCTTCCCAAGTAGCTGGAATTACAGGCACCTGACACCACGCCCGGCAATTTTTGTATTTTTCTTGTATTACTTTTGAGACGGAGTCTCGCTCCGTTCGTCAGGCTGGAGTGCAGTGCCCATCTCAGCTCAATGCAACTCTCGCCTCTTGGGTTCAAGTGATTTCCGGCTAATTTTTATATTTTCGTAGAGATGGGGTTTACCGATGTGGCCAGGCTGCGGTTTTGAACTCCGTCCTCAAGTTAATTCTCCTGCCTCTCGTCATCAAAGTGCATGGATTAAGCGATTCACGCCACGCACACGCACAAGTTATTTTTATAACCAGGACCCACCGATAGCTTAGACAAAAGCCTTTTAAGAATGAGAGGTTTGTATCATTGAGGAGACAACCAAGATTCCAGACGAAAGGGGATATCTTGACTAGAAATTAGGTTAATGAGTATAACTTTCTGTGATTGTAAGGATTAATTTACATTAAGTAGACAGATTATTTGTTGTATTTTAAAAATTCATTGCTATCCGGGCATGGCTGATCCTGGGCAGCAGGATGAAGTAGGAGTTATTTTTCAGTTTTCTCATGCTTCTCTTAGGCAACTCGTGTCCTGTGCTTCCAAGAGATCCCCGTTTCTGATGCTTTCTGTCTGTTCAGATCCTCCAGCCAGGCCAGCCCTCCCAGAAGTCCTGCAGCAGTGAGCATCCCTCTTCTTCTCTACCCTCTCCAACATCCCGGTCCCCCTAGGCTCTCTGATTTCAGTGGGTTGTTAGGTAGAGTCATAGGATTAAATCAGCTCATACTACAAATTAATAATTCCTGACATGGGCTAATGGTGATTACAAGTTTAGGGCGTTTGCATAAAAGGAACAATGTTCTACTGAAGAAATAAACCTTTCATGGTGACATTTCAGTGGCTTTGAATGAGAACCCTTCCAGTGTCATTGTGACCCTGTTCCAGCGATCTATCTCCTAAAGAAACATTTATAGATCACCCACCTGCTCTGCTTTTATAATCATACTGTAAATCTCTCATTGATTCAAAATGATGGGGAGTAAAATGTTTGACTAGTAAGTTACTGAGAGTTTGTGAGCTTGTATGAAACACAGCAATTACCAATTTCAAAGGATTCAAAGGGAGTCGAATATATTTTAATCCAATCACCTCAAATTCATTATGGAACGAGATAAGGTAACAAAATAGTCAACATGATACTAAAATAGTTATTTTTAAATTTGGATTTTTTTTTCAGGATCTGACAGGGTTCAGAAATATCATTAGTGCATCTCAACTATTATTGTGAAAACAAATAATTTAGGCTGAACTGATACAGAAAGTTATTCTGCACATTAAACAATCTAACAATCACAGATTCCTCTTACTGACTGCCATTTTTTCCCTACAAATAGAATGTAGACTATGCAATTAAATTTTCTGAGGTCTTACCACTTTCAGATTATTTAAAACATTTTCTTTTTTCTTTTCTCAACAATCATCACAGATCAAATTTCTTATTAGATGAAAACACTTCCATAAATTTGATGCCAGGTCCTAGTTTTTGTAAGGTTTTAAATAATTTCAGACACACACAGCGTTAAACTGATAAAAGGCCTGCTACACAGTAGATGAATTTTCTCTTGGAATCTATTCTATAACCAAGTATTTTACATTACGCATAAGAAGTTGGTCTGCTGGTCAGACAGCTGAGGTAATGCTAGCAGGAAAGAGAATAGAAAATACCAGCTAACTATGAGGGCATCTATGCAGCTGTTGCAGGATTACTTTTACCTTCTTCAGACGCACGTTTTTCTTTCCATTTTGTGTAAAAACTTTGGTGGTTTGTAGAATTATGACTCCTTGTAAAGCTTTGGGACTTTGTTCATCCATCTCACTAAGTGTCTAAACAGAAGTCTACAGCACCAGCAGACACAGTAGTAAATCTGACTTAAATCAGAGGCACTCATCACTTAAGGGGTCGCCAATGTACATCAGCTTCATATAAATCATGAAAACTTTCGGGAAATAGATGCTGTGCACCATTTATGCTGAACAGCAAAAAGTCCCCATGTTGGATTTCTATGCTCAGGTGATTTTTTGCATGGTTCACTGGGATTTCTATTCCATAATGAACTTTAAAACACAAATCAATTGCAAGAAAATCCACTTTGTTTAGTTAGCTGCAAGGGCTCACCAAAACTATTCACCTCTTTCAATGAACTGGGCCAGAGGTAGAAAATACATCAGTAGCACGAAATTTGTTTTTGAAAAACTCATATTACTGTATCAACCTTCATTTTTAAAGATTACGTAATATTTGTTACTTCATATTTTAGGAAAATTATTTTCCCCTTGTGTCCTTATTTTATCTAACAGTGTAAATGCAATTGGTGCCGGCTATACTTCAATTGCTATTTTAAAATACGCCAATATGCCACTTCATACACATTATTTATCTATAGCTGTATCTATCATCTATCTCTCTATCATCTATCTATCTATCTATCTATCTATCTATCTATCTATCTATCTATCTATCTATCTATCTAATTTGTCCTTCTTTCAGGAAGTCAATTCTAATGGTCCTTCAAAAATATATTCATCAACTGAGGCAATTAATCTGCTGGTTCGCTCATTTTCTTCCCTGGTTACTGAACAACTCTTTAAGGAGCTGTAGCTTTACTGCATCTCAAGGGGTGAGGAGTATAACTGATTCTGTCTTTAACATCCCTGTTGACAGAAACCATTCACTCAAAAGGGTGTTTACCACATGGCACATAACTAATGTAGTAGTATCAGGCGCACCCAATCTTTTTTTATAATCTTTTATATATATTTATAATTTTAGTTTTGTCTTGACAGTAAAGACAATTTTATTGTGGCAGGACTAACTCATGCTTCCAGCTCCAGGTGTCTCAACAAGGACTGGTGGGGTACTACTATTAGGATTTTTGACTCAGCACTTAACACCTAACAACAGAACACACATGAGATCATATGCTCCCCCTTTCTCAGAGATTTTCAGACAGAGCTGAACTACTACTTGCCAGGGATATTGTAGAATAAATTTGTATAATACAAATCTTGAAATAAATCAGATACCCTCACATGTATTTTCCAACTCTGTGACTACACGCTTCTTTGAAAATCATTTGTTAATGTTAAGCCTGGCTGATACATCCCTTTTAGACCCACGCAGAACGCGGCATTCCAAAACCTGAAAAAAAAAAAAAATTAGCAGTTTGTTCTGGTCTTGAAAATAGGGAGCAGCAAGAATTTCCTGTTAGGACAAAAGTTTCCTGTTTCCTCGTTTGTGATGACACGCTGTTAATTTTTCCATTTATGCCAGTGAAATCTGCTTAAATCCTTTTTTACCTGAGCAAACCTGTGGATGGCTACAAGCACTGTTTAGTGGATAACTCACTCAGCTATTCGGTTTGCCTGTTTGGTCTGCCCTGCACAATACTGATTTGCCACCCATTTCTTTTGTTGCACTCTCCATTTGGTAGTCTCCTTTCTTGGTTCACTTATATACACTCCACAAAATCATCTCATCCAAGAGGAATTTCAATTTTGCTGTTTACTGATTGTCAAATGAACCTACTTAGCATGTTCTTGGATTTGGTGTTGTTTAGGGGCTTTGTGGCATTTCTGCTACTGATGCCTTCTCCCTGTGGAATGTTTCAGGGATGTGAGTTTCTTTCTTGGATTCTCTAAACCTAGCTCGATGTGATGTGCTAAAAATTATTTCTTGATATAGATTAAAATCGATTGCTATAAGATTTGTCAGTACAGAGTTAGGCTTCTGTAGTGGGACAAAATTATGCAGGTTTTAAATACAAATTAGTTCATTTTTCTCTTTTCCCAAGAAATGCTGCAGACGCACAGGGTAGGGGTAAGAACAGACTGCAGGTTTTATACCACTGGAAAGAATGAGTCAAGCCACAGTTACACACCCTTCAGGTGGGACACAACACACATTCCACACACCTGTGCAAACCCTTTATTAAAGCATCAATCAAAATACAGGATGGATCACATGGTTTTCTGTTTTTGCTACTGTAATACCAACTTATGTATGAGTCATTTGTTTACATCTTTATTTTTAAAAGTGAACATTTTACAGTTCACTTTCACCAGATTGACATTTCTGTCTAGAGGCATTTTTCCATTTTCCAATTTTAACAAAGGACATCCAGAATTACTGAAATACAACAAACGAAATCTAAGTACAAGCATCTTCCTTGACTCTCACTGTTAGCAGCTCTATGGTGTCTGAGATACACATTTGGAGGCTATTTTATTGGCTAAATAAAAATAATTTATGCCAGAATATTCTCAGAACTATTTACTTTCTATTTTTACATTCTCTAGCTTCAATTTTGATTGTAGTATTCTTAGTATTAGCCTCTTTATAAATTCCATCTCCAAAAAATCTGTTAAAGATCATTATCATTCTCATATGATATCTTCTTGAATAAAAGATAAATGCTCAGTCCTTTAGAAAATACAATAAGCAACTGTTTTATCTGATTTTTCCCCCACAATTGATTTGTTTAACCCAAACCTGGTTGATCAATGAAGAAACCCCAAAAATGTCATTAGGAAAATAAACTGTGTTATCTACTAAAGGATTTTTTTAAATGACCAGTATCTTGATGCCCAAGATATGGGTGTGAAAATATGAGATTTGGTAGGTATTTAAAGACTACGAATAACTTGGTTTAAAAACCAAGAATAGAAACATTTATAGAATTACTCAAGTGACTGCCAAAAGGATATGTGAAGAGCAATAAAGGAAAGTATCTGAACAATGCTAAGAAAACAGGGTATCTGAAATATAAGGTAAATGCTCCATTTTGGTACCAAATGAAACATTGAAAGGAAAAGAACCACAGTGACTACTACTGAAGAGTTTTAGCACTGATCAACACTGTATTTCCTAGGGCAGAATAAAAGGTATCTGGTTTGCCTTTCTAAACATTTCTTCCAGCAGCTGGAACTGGTGTTTCTACAGTCAAGTCAATCTGTGTTGGCTGCACTGGGCTTAGAGCGTGCTGTTCAAAACATGCAAATGTCCTTTGTACCTGACATTTTCTTCATGTGCTAAAGAGCTGAGCAGATCCTAGATCACCAGTAAATAATGATCCAAGCATTAGACTTGAAACATCTTACCAGTCCATTAAAATAATTTACATAGCCATGGTTAAATTCATTCAGTCTTTCTATCACATTGCTTTCTTGTTATCTCACACTTGCCCTTCAAAACAAAATTTAGACAACATAGACTTGTGCAATTAAAAATGAAACAAACAATAAAAACAGATAAATGAGGAAAGGGGAATTCCAGAACCCCATTGTGTGAGATGTCAGGTCTTTCAGCCTTAGTTGTGAAAAAGGAATGCTCATAAGCGTCCAAGACAAATCATTCTGGACATAACGACACAGCACAGTAGTGCTTGGGATGGATGAGACATTCAGAGATTTTTAGAGCAATTTCTATAAGTTATATATCACATGTATCCCATTTGGTTCCTAGAGATCTTAGTCAAGTATTAGTATTTCTTTTTGCTAAGTATGGTATACAAAAAGATGAGGATAGTAGATGTGCCCTAAAGATATGAAAATATAATATATAAAACAAAACCATTATAAATTACATAGATTTTCCATATAAAATTGTTTTCCCCATTTAGAATAAATACCATCCAAGTTTACAGATCATCTAAGTGAATTAAATATACACACATATTTGAATCATTTTCAGAATTTCAAGAAAAACATTGCTAGAGATAGGACCAGGATGACTCAGAAGCCAGAAGTTGATTTTACGAGTGACTACATACGACCCAAAGGACGAGGCTTTGGATTTAGTGTCAAGCTTTTAAAACTGCCCAGATGAGTCCAATGTGCATGAGTGTGTCTGCACACACGTTCAGTCACGCTCACATGAATTACTATGAAGCTGAACAGTTCACTCTGTATTTGAAAAATCAGCTGAAAGTCGTGAGGTCTTCTGCATCTCATATTCTAGCAGGAGAGCCTCTCTTATTTCATAAAGAAGCTGTAGGATGGATAGGAAGAGTGTAGCATTTTTGGAAGCAGAAATTCCCATTTTAAGTCAACCTCCCTTTATGTCAGCTATTATCAAAACTGAGAGCATTACGATGCCTTCAAGAGGGAGAAAGTTTTGAAAATCTACATAAGCTCTTCCCACTGCAGTCTAAAGCAGCAAAACCAATCGGGAAACATTCTTTGGCCACGTATTTCTGCTCTTGCTCCACTGAAAATCTGCCCACTTTTAGCTTATTATCACTATTCAGTGTCTAGGTGGAATGGATGCCTTCTCCTGTTGCTTCCATGTGGAAACCTGCACACGGGTTTGGGTGGAATGACAACGGAATAGAATGGGGTAACATTCATACATTATCACAAAATGAACGTAAGTCCTCTCTTGTCGCTTTGGGCATATAAACCCATGGTAAATAATTTGTGGACCTCCATGAAAACTGGAAAATGTTTATATCCTAAGAGGTGGCGTTAAAACTTTTCCACGACCCAAAAACATACGATGCTAGTCCCGAGAGCCTGAACAGGAGTCATAATTTCTCCTGATTTCTCACTGCTCATTTCTTTATGTGACTGCCCAAAGCACTTCTAACCAGAAGTCAACAGTTCAGTACTTTTCAAGAGATGTCTAATCAAACTCCATAACTAGTCCTATCACCTTCTACAACAGTTATCTATACATAAACAAATCAAGGCTAGGTTTAAAGCCAAGCCCACCGCCCTCAATTACAGAGCCAGATAATGTTTGTTGTAAAGTTTGGATGGCAAAAGCATCCAACTTCATGGTCCCATTTTTGCTTGTCTCATGCAATGGGGGTAGGTTATCCTGGAAGACTGCAAACTTTCCATAAAACTATAAATGTTTCAAATAGAAGGGATCCTGTAGACCCTTCTATGTACTACCTGCATATTTTACAGATGAAAATGATTAAACCCCAGAGAGAGGAAGGGAGTTGTCCAAGGTCACTTCCTCAGATGGTGACAGAGTGAGGACTAAACATCTGGGTCTACTCTCATCACCAATGTGGTCCATGCAATCTTGGACATCACAACCCCACTACCTGATGTGGCCAAGGCCCCTATGAGTGTATTAAGGTTACTGTCTCCTTTGCTTATAAGGGAAAATTAAATAACACCACTCATTCTCACCGATACTAAATCTTAATTGCAGATGTGGTCCTAATGGTTTTTTTGGAAGGAGAAGATCCACAATTTGTTTAAAATGCTACAATTTCTCAAAACCAACATATTTAAGTAATGCAGCATGAAAATGTTAGGTGGACCGAGAGATGAATGCAAAAAACTTTAAAGTGATCGTGAAAAGGAGCAAGGATGTTAATATCGGTTTGGTTCTGTGAGACAGCGAAACCATTCCAATGGTGCTCAGAGCTCATCTCATCTGCCCCTTCTACGGATAAGGGACCTGAGGCCCAGACTTGTCCAAAGTCAGGCAGCTGGTTATTGGCACAGTGGGTATTAAGCCTTTGGATGACTAATTTTGTCTTCTTTCCATAAGGTCATGCACCTCACATATAACCACTTTCTTGCAGGACTGAATAATTATTCAACAATTTTGGCATAAAATTTGATGGCACAGTTCCCTTTGCTATTACCCTAACCTTTCGCTCTCCCCTTTAAGCACAACCAAGTCAGCTATGCAGTTCACAAAAAGTGGACCTGGTTATATGTCATCCAACAGCATTCGGTCCCTGCAAGCCTGTTTGGAAGCCAACCAATATTCTATAACCTACAGGAATACACTGAATCCTATGTCTTTGGAAGCAATACATTTTCCAGGTAAAGAATCAGTCTTTATTTGGAGGATGATGTAACTTCAACATAAAAAGTGACTTTCGTGGGTGGTGTGGGTATATTTAACCTTTTACAATCTCCCTCTACATCTCAGCTGAACTCACCAAAAGGCTCTCTGAATCAGACAGGTAAACAGATTTTTAACTATTAAAGTGCTATTCCGGGGCAAAGTTTTTCTCAGTTTCACAACAGCAGCTTCGTTGGAAACAAACAAAAAAAAGCAATCTATGAAAATAGGCCTGGGGAATGAGAAAAAAAAAAAAAAAAACAAGCCTCATAACTACTTTGGAACATGACAAATGTAATGTGACTTGTAGATATCAGCCCTGGTACTGGTGACCGATACCAAAGTCTCTGAGGTACGTGTTCTAGGGAAAAATGAGGACAAAAATGGCAATGAGGACTAAACCAGAAAGAACAATTAGTATTAATAACAATGGCCCCATTATAAAGGAACAGCGAAAGTAATCAAAACTGAGAAGAAAGTGCAAAAAACCCACGTACGTGCATTTGCTATTGTAGCAGACCTACACTTTTTAAAAGGAAAAGCAATGCAGGGTGCATTGGACAGGGTTCTTGAGCTCAGAATATCTTACAGTGGTGTACTCTTTGCCAAGAAGGCATCACCAATTAAGGTATTTGGCAGAGATCAGCCTCTAAAACTCATTATCACATAGACACCTTCTGTCCGATATCCATTCTGCACCCTGATGTTTCTCGCATCCTTTTCTACTGGGGAAATTCCAGTCCCATTCACTGCAGGCAGGTGTTTCTCCTTTTAAAGTGGCATCACTCCTACCTAAGGGATGAGAGTCTCCTGGTAAGGCTTAGCGGCAAGTGCGTACTACATCTGTATTACAAGGAGCAGCCCCTGATTTTCTTGATATGCATAGCTTTTCGGGGTTGGTATTAGACATGGCTTTCGTAAATAATGCAGGTGTTTTTGTCATGTGTCACTGCTGGCTCTGTGGCCTCCAGGTAAGCTGGCGGCAGTACCTTATCTGGTACCTCAACAGGTGTTGGCTCTTCTGATGTTAGCTCGGTGGATGTGACATCAGTAGAAGGCTCTGCAGTTTCAGGGGAATGTTCAGCCGACGGTTCTGTCTCCTCTACATCTTTGACTTCAAACTGTCCACCCTCTTGGTCATCTGCATGCTCTTTTTTGGACTGTGGGTGAACTGACACCTTGATGGCAATTTGCTGAGGCTGCTCGTGCAGCGATGACGCGTCCGAGTCGGCGGCGGGGGAGTCGCTCCGCTTCAGAGAGTTGGGGATTGTGTAGACCTCATCCCTGTCTGCAGCCTCCTGGCCCTCTGGAGTATGCCTCACAAAATTCTGCCCCTGCTCCTCCAGCCCAACCACCTCCATAATCTCCTCCATGATAGTCCTGCAGTTCATAATGAGAGGCGGCAGAGGCACGCTCCTGGCGAGCTCTTCGATGTAGCGGGCGAACTCCATGGTTTTGAACTGGGTGACTTTGGCAAGCTCTAGAGTTTTGGCAGAGGTGATGATGGGGATGCGCTTGGCGATCTCGAACGCCTTCTGCAGCTTCTCTGCACCTTCGGTCCTAAAGAACTCATTGATGGCCTTCTCGGTCTTCTTTAGGTGGCTGCTCATCATGCACAGGCGGGTGATATTGAGGACCATGACGATGGTGAAGGCCACCAGGCACACGACCATGTAGTAGACACCCATGTCTCCAGAGGTGAAGATGACGCGCAAGGTCACCGTGTTGTTCACAGTGCCGTAGATGTTCGAAGCCACGCACGTGTATTTACCTCGGTCTGAGAAGGATACCTTGGTGATGTTCAGAAGGCCGCTGTCGTGCATTTGCCATTTTCCTGTCGGAAGGGAGAGAAGAAAATTCAACTAAGGACACAGAGCTCCCATGACTACAAACTGATACGTTTCTAAGAATATCTACTACTGTGAACATCTACTTCACGTGCTTACTATGTGGCAGGCGGTGACATGCATCAGCTCATTGAATCCTCACAATAACTCTGCAAGGTGGCCCCTGACACAGCCTTTGTTTTACAGGATGTGGAAACTGAGGCACAGTCAGGTTAGACAACATTCCCAAGGGCACCAGCTTGGAAGCCGTAGAACTGGAAGATGAACTCGAGTTCCAGAGGCTGCACTCTTAACTACCAAACCATATTGTCTAACTCTACATCCTAGTGAAAAATGAGAGAAATAAACAATCTGGAAAATGCTGCGCTCTTATTGAAGAGTTCCTTAACTTTAAAAGCAACTGATTCTCTAATCTGCCAGTAAGCATGCCTCTATTGAATATATGTTCACTGGGGAGGTTAATGCAATTAAATTGTTTACCTGAGTTTCTCTAATTTAAGACTGAAGTAATCCTTGTATGATCTCAGTTAATGAAAACATAATTTGTGTCATTCATTTTGAGACTCCGCAATTATCTATACTATTTAAAGTTACAAGCTAACAATGTGAGTATTCAGAGGCTGGATAGGAATTAATATCAATTTGGTTTAGCCTTGCAAATAAATTACAGATCCATCAAGTTGAAAATAAGCTTGACTCGAAGGAGGACACATACTGATAACACATGCGAGTTTTCTTATCCCCACTGCCCTCTCTGGAAAGGATCTAGCATCGCCTCTGGAATGGTATTTTGAATCCAGTGAAACACTTTGGTTTGAATTTAGCCTGCCCATCTACCTGCAGGTCAAAGACCCCTGTGAAACATGATACTAGGTGTGGCTTCAGGGTGTTAGGTCTGAGCCCTTCTGAAACCCTGCTACCTCCCTGGACTGTCCCATAGAGCAAATGAAGATCCCAGTTAAGTTTTTGGGGAGTTCTAAGGAACAGGCAGATATTTCTCCATAAAAACATTCTAGTTCCTGAAGCCGACTAGATAAACCTTTCCTGAGAGCTGGGGCAACTGAACACATAGTTTCCTTTTAAGTATCTATTATTGCACTGTATATTATTTGTTTGCTCTCCTTATGGTATTGTTTTAATTCCAATAGAAGGCCTGGTAATTCCCAAACGCATTTTTGTTTTGTTTTGTTAACCCAGTGGACTATGGAATAAGGCAACAGAAGGCCTGTTCTCCCGCAGTGTCCTCTGCTCCAAGGAACTTTCTTAAGGAAGCTGGACGCGCCAATGAGGTACCTCCTGGGGTTCTACAGTTCCTCCTGCCCACTGGCCAGGGCGAATCCGGCGGGAGCCTCTTGGTGGATGTTGTCACATGACTGTGCCTTCTGAAAGAACATCTGTGAAGAGCAGTTTCTGGTGTCCCTGAGTAACCCTCTTCTAACAATTCAGTCAGTGTATTTCCTCCAAGAGTAGAAAACACTGGTTTGGAAAATCGAGTGAATTTTCAGCTTCTTGTGAATGTGTATGAACAAACCAACCTACTCGGTCTGTGAAATTCTCGCTAATTCAGATGGGGCATGGGCAAGGCTTCTACCACTTTCATTCCAGGAACACAGATTTTGATATTTCAGCTGCAGATTTATTCAAATATACAATGATCTGAGGCCAGGAAAGTTACCTTGTCAATTTATTTTCTTATAATTTGCATGTCTCATAAAAGTAGACTGCAGCAGGCATGGACAAAAACAGAACAAAACTCTAACTGATTGAAAGCTTATTCCATACAGAAGACATTGGGTTTTAGAGACTTACAGGCTATGCTTGCAGTTTCTCATATTTACCTTCCTTTTGTTGGAAAATATAGCAGAAAATAGAGTGGAGGAGGGTGAGAAGGTGAGGTTATTTGTGTGAAGAATGGTTAGGATCAGTTTGTTTACCTCCTCCCCATCTGTACCACTTTTTGGAACAATTATCTACAAATATAAGGAAAAAGTAGTCTGAACCTGGATACAGAAGAAGAGAACACTAACAAGACAGGCATCTGATGGTAATATCAACAGCTTTTCCCCCAAACCTAAGTAACAACTTTAGTAATAATTATGTTCTAAGTGTTACAGAAACATAAAATGTGAAAATACTAGTGACAACATCCCAATGCTTTCCTCTATTGAATATTTAAAAATGTTTCTGAACGTGAACTTTTAGTTTTCAGATATGCTTTTAATTGTCTACTGATCTAATCTACAACCAAACAGTTCAATTCAGACAACTCCTTATAGACCCTTCAAACATTTCTTGTGACATTGTTAAAAGGGGCATAGCTTGGAATCTCATGCAGTCCAATTCGGTGACATGTGTAGTTCGTTTTGGAGAAATCTGTGAGATGTCTAACAGATAAATTATTACTTAGGAGCATATTCAGATTCTTAACCCAGCACAGTGGGTCCCCAGACTTAATGGTTTTCATATACTTTATCCAACACTTAATTTTATTTATTCTGAAAGTTTAAAGCCCAGCCATGTATCTGTGAACTATATTAACTATAAACCACGACAAATATGAATGCACATGTTATAATCCTAAAGCAGTTGGGTTATTACCTATAGCGCTGTACGCTAACAAACTAGCTAAATGAGATCATCACAGCTCTCTCTGCCAGCAATTTCCTGTTTCCAATGGAGGACAAGGATACCAAAACGTCTCTTTCATTTTCAGTCCATTACTAGATTCCTCTTGAAACAATCATTTTTCTTTTATGGGTTAAGGTAATTTTTTTTTTTTTTTTTTTTTTTTTTTTTTTTTTTTTTGTTGAGACAAGGTCTTGCCGGGTTGATGAGTGAGCAGAAGGCCCTTTCTCAGACAGCCTCCCGAGTAGCTGGGACTACAGGCGTCCGCCACCTCACCCGGCTAATTTTTTTGTATTTTTAGTAGAGATGGGGTTTCACTGTGTTAGCCAGGATGGTCTCCCATCTCCTGACCTTGTGATCCACCCGCCTCAGCCTCCCAAAGTGCTGGGATTACAGGCGAGAGCCACCGCGCCCAGCCTCTTTTTTTTTTTTTTTTTTTTGAGACGGAGTCTTGCTCTGTCACCCAGGCTGGAGTTTAGTGGCGCAATCTCGGCTCACTGCAAGCTCCGCCTCCCAGGTTCACGTCATTTTCCTACCTCAGCCTCCCGAGTAGCTGGGACTACAGGCGTCCGCCACCTCACCCGGCTAATTTTTTTGTATTTTTAGTAGAGACGGAGTTTCACCGTGTTAGCTAGGATGGTCTCCATCTCCCGACCTCGTGATCCGCCCACCTCGGCCTCCCAGAGTGCTGGGATTACAGGCGTGAGCCACCGCGCCTGGCCAGGTTAATGTAATGTTAATGTCACTTAGAATTCTGTTGGGTGAGATACGGTAAAATGAGTATGTGACCTGGATAAGAATATACTATTACCAGACCACAAAGCAAGTCCAACTCTTTGCAAGTCAACACAGTTCTAAGACTAGCATAGAAGAAAACTAAGGTCCTGCAGCCTCGAAGGTTATGTATGTCTGTATTCCCCACCCCCTTTTTTTGTAAAGGCCAATACATTAATTTGTTCTGGGAACCAAGACCCCAAATATTTCCTCTCAGCCTCAGCCTGCCCTTCCATTAGTGAAAAATAAAGATTTCTGCACATTCCACTGCCATATACAGCTCTGAAAGCTAAAGATGGTGCAAATTCTGTTTGGAGACTCCTCCCACATCAGCTTTGGACTCATGCTCAAGAAGAATCTCCATCCACACGGCACCTGTCCAGACAGGAACATCTCGAAAACGTTCTTGCTGCTGCATGTTACCATTTGCATCAGTCTATAAATACCTGGCCCTGCTACTCATTCTAGAAGGGTCCCGACTTCAGCTGCCAGAAAGTTATACGAACACCTACGGTGACTATCACAGATCTTCGGTGCTTTACACGTGAAGTGGGGATACACAGTGCAGTCCCCATGTATTTTAAACTGTAACTGAGTGGGAATGTCAAGCTTATGCACTGAATGTTCATGAAGCTGCATCACTTCAGCACAAATAAAACCCAAAATGTCAGCAGTGGATGCCAACTCAGTTCTACATGCGATGATTTTGGAGGAAACAACAGAGGCAGCCATTTTGCTGTGACCTTCTGAATAGAAAAGGAAAGACTCTCACGCTCCTCCTGCACTTGGGCTCAGTCACACACTTCCTGTTCCTTGCGCAGACTGTAGCCACGCCCCCTCCCCCGCCCCCGGAAATGCCCTTCTTCCATCCCCTCTCTCTCTGCTCCTGTTCTGGAAGGTGATGCACACCTGAGGCTTTAGACTAAAATGCTCACACAAGCTGCAGGACAAAGGCTGCTGCATCTCATGTCTCCTGGAGACTAGAAATTGCCAGGGACCTGTCACAGTCTTCACCAAGAAACTCCAGGCACAAGAGTTAAAGATGAAAATCTCCTAGAGGTGGATAACAGTGTTGTGGTGATAGTCTCTCCTTTGCAAAGACAAAAGCTAGCAGATGTTGTTTCTGAGCTGTACTGCAGTGCACGGGTTATGCCACACAACAAAGCTGACATTTGTAGAAGGGCAGTGATCTTTTTTTATCTTGTTCACTAATTCAGTCAACAAATATCATTGAGCAAACTGTCTATGTTCCAAGCTCCATGCTGGATGATGAGAACACAAAGATGAGTTAGACATGACCCCTGACTGCAATAAAAAAAATCAAGTTCCAAAGGAAAAACAGACACTGAGACACAACCACAGCATCATGTAGTAAGTATAATGGCATCTGGGAGGGACTAAATGGGACAGAGAGCAAGGGCTTCCTAGAGGAGGCCACTGCTAACCCAGATCCGCTGGCACAGGTAGGGAGAGGAATGGGAATAAAAGAGAAAGAACTTTTGAGGTCACAGGGAGCACATGAGCACGAGAGAGAACACTGTGAGCCGCTGGAGCTGACCACTAGAAAACCGAGAAGGGCTCAGATGGA